GTGTGAGCTCTTGGTCCAGGTGTGTGTGTGTGTGTGTGTGTGTGTGTGTGTGTGTGTGTCCCTCCCTGGAGGAGTGACCCTGAGTGCGTCCCTCGCCGAGCAGCTGTGGCTATGTTTGCCTCTGTGTGACCCCACACCCACTTTCCAAAAGGACAAGGGGATGACCTAGGTCCCTGGCTGTCAGAGAAGGCTAAGGACCAAGTCCATTTTGCAAATGGGAAGGGGACCAAAAGATGGGGCGAGACATAAGGGAATTAAGATGTGTTGTGTACATGTACCAAGTCCCCACAAAGAATGTGATTATGATGAACCACAAACAGTACTAACAAAAACTAAAATTAAGAAAAATAATAATAAAGTAAATACATCCACACATGCATTTAAAAAGACCAAGTCTAGCCTGATGCAGGAGCAGTCAGTCTTGCCCAGCGGGTTTTTCTGGCCTGGTGGCAGCAGTAGCAGCAAAGGTGACAGTAGCAGCCCAAGGAGCAAAAACAAGACTGGGTGGGCGGGGGCTTCCCGCTTCCCTCTTCCCCAGCCAAGGCTGGGAGCACAGGTGTGGTGCTAGCTGCCCAGCAGGGGATCTCTATCACTAAGGCCCCTCTGGGCTCAGCCCCTCCATGAAAAGGAGAGGGGAAATAGTCTGCACCCAGCAGACAAAAAATAGAGTCAAACTGACCTTGGGAGGGGTGGTGCTCGGCCTGTGGAGGGAGAAGCTGCAGGTCTTTGGGTCTCAGGGACAGTGGATAGAAAGGCTCAGCAGGTCTGCTAGGGTACAAAGGATCAGCGGGCACCAGCTCTTCTGGTGTGTGACCTTAGGCAAGTTACTGGACCTCTCTGAACTTCAGTTTTCTTTCCTGCAAACTGGATTTCTGGGGATTGTGCAGATTTCCTCCCTTCTTGTCTATCTTTGACACACACAATCTATCCCTCCTGCCTGAATGGACACCCTCACCCCTCCCTGCTTCATCTACTCAGAGCCTTGAGTGCTATCCAAGACCTTAGAGAATTTCCTAATCATTTATCATCTGTCACCCAACTAGAACACAAGCACCTAGAGGACAGGGAGCTTTGTCCCATTTCATGCCTGGATGATCTGCCAGCACCAGGGACAAGGCCTGGAGCAGCCCTGAGTGGCCAAACACATGCACATTGATGTCAGGGCACCTCTGCCGGGGAAGGAAGCAAAACACCTCACTGGGGACAAACTGTCATTTATGATAGAAGAGTCCCCGTGGCTGGATGGGAGTGTGGGCAGAACTCACGCAGCCTGAGCCCTGCACACCAGCCTTGGCCCCTGGCCTGCTGGCAGCCAGTGCAGACTTGCTCCTTGCAGGGGGAGCAGGGCAGCCCTTTGTAAACTCATAAAGGGCAGCTGGCTGTAGCCACTGTCACTCTGAGAGGCCACTCCAGGCCTATAAACCCCCTCTGACAGCTTTATGGGGCTCGGCATGAGCAGACAGGAGATGCCACGCGCCATGGGGTCAGAGTTCCCAGGGCTGAGCAAGCAAGGGCAGAGGAGCTCTCAAGCCCCAGTCTGCAAGGGTGTTACATTCCTGGATGCTGGACTACAGTTCCCTGGGTCACTGTCTCCAGGTCATAGATGTCGTTCAGCTAAGAGGAGCCAGAGCCCACCTGAGGCCACCCAGTGGGCCGAGCAAAGCCAGGACTAGATTCTTTTCTGAGAGGCCTGGATACGTGGGCAGGGTCAGGCAGCAGCCTTCGGGATCAAGAGAGGCTCCCAAGCCCTCCTTGGCACATTGTGTGGCAACCACTACATCTGATATTTATTGAATATTTATTATGTATTAATCATCATACTCTTTACATAATTGTGTGCTTTATAGATGAAAAAACTGAGGCTCAGAGGATAACTGCCCAGGTCATTTAGCCAGTAGGTATCAGAGCTGAGACTCTCGCCTGAAATCCCACACTCCCAACCACATGCCCCAAAGTAGCACAGTTGCTACTTTGACCTTGCCTGGTGGTTATCCAAGGATTGTGGAAAGGCCCTGAGACAGATGAGGGACCAAGAGCAGGAGCTGGACATGGCTGGGCCGGGGAGAACCAGAAGGCCGGCAGTGCCACCTGGTGGTATTGTGCACAAATTCCTGCCAACAAGCCCAGCAGGTCCTCCCGGGTCTAACTTTCCGGCATCTGGCCCTGAAGCCTTGGGGAAGAGTTAGGGGGCGAGTGCCAGGATTTCTCTAACTGGCGTGCTCAGATCCCTTCCAAGTCACATGGCTCCCCCACTAGACAAACCACTTCCTGGCCCATTTGCCCTTCCGGGCAGACTTATCCAAACACACTTCTCACTGCCCTGCCTCTGGGCCTCTGCACATGCAGTTTCTGTGCCTAGTATATCTTCTCCCTCTCCTGAATACCAGACTCCTATTCATGCTTCAGAGCCCAGCTCAGCTGCCAGCCCCTGGCAGGATGTGTCCATAGTCACTGAATTACTCATCTCTTCAACTTGGAGGCCCTCTGGGGCAAGCTTGTGTATTTCCCATTATACTCCTGTTTGATTCCAGTCCTGTCTTGCGCTGTGCTTCTCATACAGTTGGTACTCAGTAAATGCAATTTTTTTTTTTTTTTAACAAAAATGCATGTTGAACGAACTCCCCAAGGCGTTCAGGTGCGATCCCCGGCGCCCAAGAGGCGGTGCTGCATTTCCAGGGGGCTGCCAGGAGGGGGCAGCATCAGACCAATCGCGCGCTGGGAGTAATTCGGGACCTGGGCGGCCCCTCCCACGCAGCTCAGGCTGCGGGAGCGGCTGGAGTCTCCTGGGGCCCTTGCCTCGCTGGGTGACCTTGGGCTCACTCAAAGTCAGTCCAGCCCCCTGGCGGGCGCCGTACCCAGGAAACAACCCGGCCCTGGACAGCCGGCCCTCGGGAAACGGCCGCTTCCTGCCTCGGCAGCGGCGACTCCCTGAGGTCTGCGGGAGCCGCGTGGGCAAGGGGGGTGCGGAGGTGGGGCTCCCAGCCGGGGGGGCCGACCGGGCCGGAAGACAGCGCCCTCCCCGCGTGCCTGGGTTTAAAATGGAAAGACTGGTGCGGGGGATTTAGCTCAGTGGTTTCGCTGCCTGCTGTGCAAGCTCAAGGACCCGAGTTCGATCCCCGGTACCAAAAAAACCCCACAAAAAACAAAAAACAAAAGATGGGAAGACTGAGGCCCAGAGAGGGTCCTCGGAGTACAGGGGATGGCGGTTTGCGTGGCTTGGGGACGGGATCCGGGTGAGTGCTGGGGGCTGTGAGCCCCGCCGACCCCCACACCACGTGGTGAGATCCACTGAGCTCAAAACAAAAGGGACTCCGACCACGTGTGAGTCGGGGCGCAAGCCCAGGCTTACCACCGGCTGTGTGGCCTACAACAGTCCCTGCCAAGAGTTAGGACCCTGCTTCTCTCCCACTCGGCCGTCTAGGCCTGCACAGTGCGCCTGTGTTTGCAGGTCCTCTGGGAATAAAGGCGCTGTTGGCTGTGGGTGAAGCCAGTCATGAGAACAGGGTTTCCGGCAGAGCCACGTGACACGCTGGCGGCCACCAGGGCTACGCTGCTGGGCTCCAGGGCCCCTTTCTCCTGACCCTGTAGTACTGCGGTGGCCTCTTTCACCGCCTTTCAGCACTGATAGGAGCGGTGTCTGTGGTGCCAGGCTCTGGGCCCAGTGCCACAGCTGCCCCAAGAGCTGGCATTGCCGGTGGCAGCACTGCACAGACATGCCACCTCCCAGACCTGCCACCAGGTCCCCTCAGCACACACCTCTCAAGTCCCAGACCCTAATCACCACCTTGTGGCTCCCCACTGGCCTTCCTGTTGTCAGTCTCACCTCCAACCCCTCCTCACAGGAGCCAGAGGGATTTGCTTTATAAAAAGGACGGTGATTGCACTTTCCCCTTGCTCAGGAACCTCTGGCTGGCTCCCTTTTGCTCTGACAGAAAACTGAACATCTGCCACCTGGCCCTCTCATCTCAAGTAACCCCCAGCCCGTTCTTTCTTTTTTGGTACTGGGGATTGAACTCGGGTCCTTGCGCTTGCACAGCAGGCTGCGAAACCACCGAGCTAAATCCGTACCCCACCAGCCCCTGTTCTTGCTCACTCTGCTCCAACCACCTGGCCTCTGCGTTCCTAAACACCCCAAGGCCTTTGCACTTGCTGTCCCCTTTTTCCAGAAGGCTCCCAGGTCCCCACACAGCCCCACCCCCGTCCCTGAGCAGACGCCACTTCCTAGTTCAGCTCTTTGCTCAGTTGCCACCACCTCTTCCTTCGAGTGGGGTGATCTTCCCTTACCATCCTGGTTCACTCTGTGCTTGTTTGCTTTCTGTCCCCTCAGGAAGACTGAAATCCATTAGGGCAGCAACTCTGTTCTCTTGAATGTTAAGTCCCTGGCTCCCAGAGCTCAGCGCATAGTTCCCTAGTCTGTGCATTCAGACCCTGCTCTTTGGGGCCCTGGGAGCAGGAAGAAGCAGCAAGATCCTGACCCTGTCACCCCTAACCAAGGAGACACAATGCCAGATAGTCCCCGTCATGCCCACCCTGCCTCGGGGTAATATGTTCTCCCCACCTGCGCACATGGAAGCCTCTCCTTTAAGTACTGTATATCGACAAGTTCATTCTTGTAATAACCTATTTTACATGTAAGGCAGTGGGCTCAGAGGAAGTAAGTGACATGCCCAGCGTCACACAGCCAGGAAGTGGCAGCACCAGAATGAGAACTCTAGGCTGCCTGGCCTGAGGGCCATCCTTGGCAGGAGCATCACCACAGAGTGGGACCTGGCCTCAGCCTGCCCTGGGCACCTGCCCGGGTACCTACATGCTCCCTTCCCCAGTCTCTCACCGCCTCGCCTACCCCATCACCCTTTCTGTCCTGACAGGGACGCTTCCATGGCTCCTTACTGCTCACACAATAACATCTGGACCTCACAGCCTGGCACTGAGTCTGCTCTCAGCACACCCCCTGCTCTGACTGCCCTCGGCGTGCCCCCCCCTCCCCGGGGTGAGCTCACTTCACGGAGACAGAGAACTCGCCCGGCGAGCTCTCGCTCTCCCGGATCAGGAAGGCGCCCAGGTGGTTCCGCTTCATCAGGATCTCTTCGGCCAGCTGCCGGGAAATCCTGCCCGAGTACCATCTGTGGAGAGAGGGACCCTGAGACTCCGGGGCAGGGCTCCCACCCTCCCCCATGTGCAGGCCTCAATCCCTCTGACCCTTGAGGTAAACTAGAGATATGAGAGGCGTGGCCCAGCCTATCTTACAGATGGGCAAACTGAGGCACAGTGTAGTGAAGCGAGGCAGGCAGGAGCAGGGACACAGCCCAGTGTTTGCTCCAGAGCCCAGCCATCCTTTCCTGCCACACCAGGCAAAAGCACACCCTGAGGAAAACAGGAAAATAAGGCTCCAGTTGAGCCACAAGCCAGCCAACATCAGTCTAACTTTTCCATTTTAGATGTCAGGTTCTTTTTGTTTGTTATTTGTCTTTGTGAGACAGGATCTTGCTATGTAGTCCAAGTCAGACTTAAACCTTCGCTCTTCCTGCCCCAGCCTCCCAAGGGCTAAAATTACCGTTCACCTGTACCACCATACCTAGTTCATATGATAGATTTTTTTTTTTTAGACAGGGCCTCACTATGTATTTTAGACTGGCCTTGAACTCAGTATGTACTACCCCAGGCGGTCCTCGAACTTGTAATCCTCCTGCCTCAGCTTCCCAAGGGGTAGGGTTACAGGCATGAGCCACCATATCCAGCCCACAGTAGATTTTTAAAAATCAAAAAACAGGGATGAGGATTTAGCTCAGTGGTTCTGCCGGCTGCCTTGAAAGCGCAAGGACCCGAATTTGATCCCCGGTACCAAAAAAAAAAATCAAAAAACATAAAACAGGACTGGGGTGCAGCTCAGTGATACAGCATTTACCTACAGCGCTTGAAGTCCTGGGTTCAATCCCCAATACTACAAATAAATAAATAAGACAAAACAACAGTGGCCTCGATCTGGTGAAGAAAGGTCTTTCCTTTTATGCATTCCACAGTTGTGCAGACTCAGACCACCTGGACTTTTTCATAACAAGTTCCTTTTCCTGATGACCAAACAAGTACACAGACATTGCCTTCTAGATGCTTATACTTTGGTGAGATCTCCAGGGAAAGCTGGACCCATGTCTCTGACTGGCCTCTGGGGCCACCCACTGTTAGAACTGTTTGTACTCTAACCCCAATCCTTGATTTAGAGGTAGGGCCTTTGGGAGTTGAGTAGGAAGCCTCATAAATGGGGCTCAGGAATTGTCAGTTTGAATGTGCCCCCCAAAAGTCCATGTGTCGAAAACTTGGGATCCAAGGCAGCAGTGTTGAGAAATGGAACTTTTGGGAGGTGATGGTCATGAAGGATCTGTCCTCATGAACGGGTTGATCCATTTATGGGTTAGTGGGGCTGGGGATTTAGCTCAGTGGTTCCGCTGCCTGCTCCGCAAGCGCAAGGACCCGAGTTCAATCCCTGGTACCAAAAAAATAGAAGCCAAACATTTATGGGTTAGTGGTTCAAGGGGTTATAGAGGAAGTAGCATTGCTGTAGAAGCAAGCACTCTGACTCACCTGCTGGCTCACCATGGAGTACAGCAGGAAGGCCCTCACCAGATACCAAGCCACTGCCATTACCACACTCTTGAGCATTCAGCCTCCACACTGAACCAAGTAAAACTCTGTCCTTTATAGATGATCCAGTCTTGGGTGTTTTGTTATAGCAACAGAACATGGACTAAGACAGAATCCTTATAGGAAAGACCCCAGAGGGCCGGGATTTAGCTCAGTGGTTCTGGCTCCTGCCTCGAAAGTGCAAGGTCCTGAGTTCAATCCCCAGTACCAAAAAAAGAAAAAAGACCTCAGAAAGCTCTTTTGCCCCTTCACCATATGGGGACACAGGTAAAAGATTGCCATGTATGAAGCAGGAAGTGCCCCTCACCAAGCACTGCATCTTCCTGTGCCTTGACCTTGAATGTCCAGCCTCTAGAACTGTGCACAGTGAATATGTGCTGTTTGTAAGCCTCTCGGCCTATGGTCTTCTCTTACAGCAGCCAGAATGGACAAACGCCCACCACTGGAGGGGCTGGGGGCTTCCTGGCTCCAGAATTTTTGCCCAGCTTTGGCTTTGATACCTATGTCGACCCACAGCAGCTAGAGGAGTCATGATGAGACTATGACAGGCCAAGGGCAAGACCCAGGGCCTCTGTCCCCTGTCCTGTTTCCCTGCCCTCCTCCAGCAAATGCTTCCTGAGCGTGGCACAGCATCGGGCGGGGGCCTCTCCTGTCGTCTCAGGGTGCTGACAAGGCCTCTACAATGAGAGGCCGATGTGCTGGCATCTCGCCCCGTCCCTGTTCTCACAGATACTTGATAAGGTTGCTCAGACAAACTTGCCCCCAAACTGGCTTTGGTTTGTGTGCCAGGCAGGCTGAGGAGCAGGAGAGAGGTGCCCCAGCTCCCTGCAGAGCTGGAGAGATTCATAGGTGCAGGTCCCGTGGTGTCCCTCAGCCAGATAGAGTGCCAGCTGCCCCAGCAGCAGTGACCTCCAGAGCATGCCTCTCCTGACTCCTCCCTGTTTACATCCTCGCCATGTCTCAGGGATTGCTTCTGGGGGTCCCACACCCCCAGACATGAGCTTCCAGGTCACTGTCATCCCCCAGCCAGTGCAGCCCTGCCCACATCATGGCGGAGTCCCCTGAAAGCCGGGGAAGGTGGTCACTGAGGGTGGGGGTGCAGCCAGGGTTCCATGGAGTTTGGGGACACCAGAGGACTGTGTTTGCCTCCCTCAACCTTGGTGAGTCCGGGGCAGAGGCTCAGGCTACCGCTGGCTCCGCCCCACTACGGTGGGGCCCTGGATGGGAGTTTCCTGAGGGGCCAGGGTCCTCTGAAGAAACCACAAAACCCCAGAGGAGACGTCAGTGTGTGGGCAGCAGAGGGTGGCACAGCCACACACACCAAGAAGCGACCTCCCCACCGGTCCTGCCCCTCTCCATGGAGGGTTGGAGGATGGGGTAGAAAGCACTCCCCTCCCCCTCAGGAACCTCTTCCCTCCACGCCAGCCCCACTCTATCGTTTACCTCCTGGAGTGTCCTCCCTCACTGATGAGGAAACTGAGGCCCAGGAGGGGCAACGCTCCCGAGAGGCTGCAGAGCAAGTCCATGCCTCAGCCTGAACCCCCTAGCCCTGCAGCTGCTCCTTCAGGCTTCGCCGAGCCCCACTCGACCCACCTGCAGTTCCACTCTGCCTCTTGCCCAGTGTGACTGTGGATGCGTCACCAAACCTCTCTGTGCCCCTGTCAACTGGTGTGTAAGACAGTGCCAATAGTGCTCACCTCACAGGCCCTGGGAGGGTGGATGAGCTGCTGCCTGCAAATGTTTGCTGCTGCTGCTATGATGAATGGTTCAGATCCCTCCTCCCCACATCCCTCCCTGGCAAACTTCTCCAACTTCCAGGCCCAGTGGGCCACACTCTTCCTTTGGGAAGCCCTCCCTGTTCCCAATCCCCTGGCCATTCAGTTCTGTCAGGTGCCTTCTCCCTATGGGTCCTGTGGGGTCTGGGGACAGGCAGGGCTAAAAGTGGGTGCTCAAAGAAGGAGTGAGCCTGGTGCCAGCCCCTCCCCAACCCCACACCCACACCCTGGGGCTGAGTCACGTGCAGAGCTGGAGTTCCCCAAGGATATTTGGGGACAGTGCAGGTGCTGAGGTTAACGAGCGGGAGCTAGCACCTGGGCAAGGTCTCATGCAATGGGTCAGGTCCCAAGCTGATCCCAGAGGCATTAGAGGCTGCAACCCTCCATGGCTCCCAAGTTCCCTTCGAGAGTCTTGCTAGGCCTGCCTAATTCCAGACAGCCCAGCAAGTGGAGGCTGTGCTCTAGGCCTCTCTGCAGCTGGGCCTCGAAGGCTTCCCACCCCAGCAGGCCAGCTCTTCCACTGAAGGCTGCCACTGCCCAGTCTATGAGCATCACTCTCTACTGTTTTCAGCCTTCCGGATGTGCCCCGGGCTTGGCACTGCCTGAGGTCCCCGGCCTGCCTCACGGCCAGGACTGGATTCTCCCCACCTTGCTCCCCCATGGTGCACCCCTTCCCCTCCCCTGACTGCAGGCTGAGATCCTGTGGAGATGGCTGGAGTTGCTGGAGCCCAGCAGAGGGGCTGGGGATGTGGGAGACCAGCCACGCCTACCACAGGAAGCAGGTTTGCAAGTAATTCAAAGAAAGATAAAGAGGAAATACCCTCTGGGCCTCACCCAAGCCCTGCACCTCCTTTCCTTCCAACCCACAGCCACACAGCATCACAGGTCCCAATCTGCCTCTCCAACCTGCCAGGTGCTGTCACCTGCCTGCACATCTGACTGAGTGTCTCCCCTCCAGTAGCACCTCCAGGGCTGCCCAGTACCCTGAGCCTGGAACTTCAGGCCTTGTGTCTGTCCCCAAAGTTCCGGTTCGCCCTCATTGCCCTCATTGCTCTCCCTTGTCTCATCTTAACCCTCTCCTAGGAATACCAAAAAACATTTTTTTTCTCCATAGCCGACTTACACATCCTTCCCCTGGTTGGTCACCTCGATGCCGACCATCTTCCCATGTAGCATTTTCTCTATGTCCTGTATCTGTCAGAGAACAGGACTCTTCTGACCCCTCTATGTCCCCAATATCACCCTTGCTGGGCCCCTGAGCTATGCAGGTGTGGCAGGTGCCAAGGCAGTGGCTCCGCTGTTATTTAAAGTGTCTCCAATTAGTTTCATTGATTTCTTAGCCGCCCAGGCCTGTGCTGGACTGGCCCTGCCTGTTGTTCTGAGGACCATGGTGGTAGATCCCTTGCTAAGAACCTCGCCTGCTGCTCCCAGGGCCAGCAGATCCCAGGCCCCAGGACACTGGGACTCCAGACACAACTCCCATACCACGCGGTGTACTCTCCAACGTCTAGACCCCAAGGAGCTCATGCCTGACTCATCCTGGCCCAGCCAGTGGGGACACAGCCTCCAGAGTGATACTCACGGGTGGGGCTTGACACGGATATAGTTCTTGGGGACAAAGCCCTCAGCTCCTCGGAGCTCAGCCTTGTACCAGTTCTGATCGTCCTCCATGTTCAGGATCTGTGGGTCACCAAGAAGGAACAGTTGTCACCTGCTGAGGCTCTGCTGCTTGCTGGGCCCAGGTGAGTTTCACCTGTACCAGCTCCTGAGCCCATTCATAGAGGAGGGCAGGGGCCTGGGGTGGGGATCTGCCAAAGGTCCCATGGGCCAGGTAAGAGCTATTGTCTGATTCCACAGTCCTGGCTGCTCCTGGCCCGAGGACAACCATCAAGAGGGCCACGGCCTCCTGGGATAGGACAGCTGGGGACCCAGAGGAGGTTTTGGGTTCAGGAATTGGGGCAGCTGAGGCTGGGTGCCTCAAGGAGTGGATCTGGGGCCCTTCAGTGCCTGAGTTGTGCCCAGAGAATGAGGGGTCCCACAACACCTGCCTGGCATGCCCTGAGCCTTAAGGTGAATATCAGAGATCCTCAGGAAGATTAGGGACCCCCAGCCTGAGCTCAGCGACCAGTATCACCCAAGGTGACTCACATTTAAAACACCCTTACAGGTCTGAGCTCAGGGGTGCTGGGGCGGGGGGGGGAGTGGTCAGCACTGAGGCCCGTGGGCTGGTTTTCAGGCCTAGCCTGGCCTGCTCAGGTTGCTCAGGCACATCTTCCAGGCCCATGAGGCCCCATCACCCCACAGGTAGGCTGAGCAGGAGGCCGGGGGAGAGTGAAGCTCGGGGCTCCTTCCTGCATTTCCTGGACACGCTTTCTATGTGTCACTCCAGTTCTTGTAGAACCCTGCAAGGCCAACATCACCCGGCTACTTCTCAGATGAGCCCAGAGAGAGCAAGTATCACACCCAAGGCCACACAGCCGGGAAGATGCAGGGCCCCTTTGGTTGGCCAGGACTCGGAGATGTGGGATGTCCGGCTCTGCAGCCTAAGGGTGCCTTGGCCCACTATTTTCACCCTACTCCACCTCCCTTTGCCTGTCAGTCCTGGAGCAGATTTCCACATCAGCTCACTCCTGGGGGAGATTTATTAGTAGAAGATGCTGGGCACAGAGAACAGAAGGCTCTGGGCAGGGCCACATAAGGCATGAACTTGAGTAGGGATGGACCTCCTCAGCCTAGGCCTGGGCCTCCCAGGGTAACACCCTTTGTCTGTCCTCCAGGCCAGGTCCCAGGTCCTCCAGCCCTTCCTTCCTGTCCCTGAGTCCAAGCAAGTTCAGCAGCCCCAGAGACAGACGGAAGCAGGTGGCCTGCTCAGAAAAATTTTCACTCAAAATGAAACCAGTTCACCTAACTGAATGAGGAAATTAGGACCCGTGGGCCACCTCCCACAGCCACAGATTCCTCTAGACTGCTCAGTCCGCTCCTGACTCTCTGTGGCCTCAGCCCCAGTTTCTTCAGCCATTTCTCGGGTACGTTTATGACTGCTGAACATGGTGGTGTCCTGTGGGCTACAGTATCCCATGTGGGGTACTGCCTGCTTCGATCCCTGGTTCTGTTGTCAGGCCTCCTAGCTTTTCTGCTGTGAGGACCAAGAAATGTTCTCATGGTCACCTTAGCTGAATCTCATCGCTGATATCTCTCAAAAGCCCCAGATATGTGGTAAGTCCACAAACCGGAGACCGGCTTCCTGGCCCACCCAGGCCTCCCACCCCAGGACTGTCCTTCTCCCTGTCCCTGCCTGATGCAGCTAGTAGCCACCTACTGTATGCCAGGCCTGGGTAAGCTCTGGGTTCACATCAAGGAACATGGAGCTTACATCCTAGGGGCAGAGACAGACATAAACAAGGAAAGAAACAAGTAAACAAGAGAGTTTATGTTGGAGTAACCACTCTGACAAACATGTAAGGATGACGCATGTGGAGGATGTCTGGCTGGGGGCAGGGAGACTATCAGCAGAGGGCAGAGGGAGCCATCCAGAAAGGCTTCACTGGGGAGGTGACATGTGCTGTGCCCTGAATTACAAGAAGAAAACAGTAGTGAGAAGATGTGAGGAACTTTGTGCAAGACAGAGGAAACAGCCTGTGTGGAGGCCTGGGGTGGGAGCAAGCTGTGGCCCCAACAGAAAGGAGGCCAGTATGCCTGGGGCTAAGGGGAGGGGCAGGCTCTGGAGGGGCGGGGTCTTGGCTGCTGCCCCAGCTGGTGCAGAGAGGGCAGGAGGAACCAGGGGCTTCCTGTATGGGCCCAAGGGAGTGATGGAAGGGGCCTGGACCAGAGGAAAGGACACTGATAATGCTCTGAGTTGGGAAAAGTTTAGCCAGAGTTGGAGGACTCAGTAATAGGCTGCTGGGGGGCAGGTTCAGGGAACTCAGGGCTGGCTATGTTGGGTTCCCAGGGAGATGTTAAGGGCGCCATGGGCTCCCCAAGTCTGAGTCTCCAGGGCTGGGCTGGGCTGGGGGGTTGGGAGTGATGGCACCCACTTCTAGGGGCCACAGCGGGGTTCAGTCCACCTAGAAATCCCTGGCCTATCAAGGAGGGAGGTGTTGTCCAAGCAAGTCGCGTTCAGGGCCACCTGTCCAGAGTGAGTCCATGGATCACTAAGCTTTCATCCCAGACCTAAGTTCCAGGAGGAACCACGTACATCCTTCAGGCCCTGGGCAGCAGCAGGACCCCAACAGGGCAAGGGCCTGGCCCACAGGAGTGTGGGGAGCCAAGTAGGATAAGGGCAGGACACCAGCCACAAACTGTGGCCCTGCCGGGAAGGAGGTGGAGATGCAGCACAACAAAACAGTTAACATTTTTAGTTATAGAAAGCAGGCGGCAGGGCTGGGTATGTAGCTCAGCAGTGCCACTCCTACCTGGCAAGCACAAGGTCCTGAGTTTAATCCCTGGTACAGAAAGAGAGAGAGGACCGGGGATTTAGCTCAGTGGTTTCGCTGCCTGCTGCACAAGCGCAAGGACCCGAGTTCAATCCCCGGTACCAAAAAGAAAAGAAAGAGAGAGAGAGGGAAGGAAGCAAGCAAGGAAGGAAGGAAGGAAGGAAGGAAAAAAGAAAAGGAGAGAGAGAGCAAGAGCAAGCAGGCAGCAGACTAAAGGAGGCAGGCGAGACACCTTTGGAGTAAAATTGAAAGGGATGCCAAAAGCTCAGGAATCTGGGGCTGGGGATTTAGCTCAGTGGTTCCTCCGCCTGGCTCTCAAATGTAAGGGCCTGAGTTCAATCCCCAGTACCAAAAACAAACAAAAGCTCAGGAATCAAGATAAATACTATTTTAATGTAATGGTTAAAAAAATCAAAATGAATACAAAACTCTAAATGTGGATGTCATTTAATAATCTCATATTGCTATTGTAACAGATGAACCACCGTGTGTAAGATGGGAACAATCAGGGAGCCAGAGGCTGGAGTGTATGTGTAAGAGTCATCCTATGCTGTCTTCTTAGTGTTCTGGTAAATATAAAGCTGTTCTGAAAAATCAAGTGTGTTTTGTTTTGTTTTGTTTTGTTTTGCTTTGCTTTGCTTTGTTCTGTTTGTACTGGGGGTTAAACCCAAGGCCTTTTTTTCAAATTTTGAAACAGGGTTTTGCTAGGTAGCTAAATTGCCCAGGCTGGGCTTGAACTTGCAATCCTTCTGCCTCAGCCTATCAAATTATGGGATTGCAGGAGTGGGCCACCATACCTGGCTGAAAAAATCAAGTCTATTTAAAAAATTAATATGAAGGGCTGGAGGTTTGGTTCAGTGGCACCAGCACCTGCCTGGCAAGCACAAAGTCCTGAGTTCAATCCCTGGTTCCGCAAAAGAAAAAAAATTAATATGAAAGTTTCATCAAAATCATAAATAAAGGGCTGGGGTTGTAGCTCCATGGTAGAGCACTTGCCTAACATGTATAAGCCTCTGGGTTCCATCTACAGCACTGCAAAACAAACAAACAAATAAAAATCTTAAAGTACCTAGATCCCCTTCCCATCTGCAAAAGATCATCTACCTGTTTCCTATTATTTTTTTTATTTTGCTCTTTAAATTATTTGTACTTTGGGTTTCTCATATAAAAGAAACAATGTAATTTTTTTATTTTATTTTAACTAAATCAGAATTTGACCTTGCACTTGCACAATCCTGCAGTGGGAATCTCACTCCTACTCTCGTCCTGGCCCAGCAGGGAATTCTGTCATCTCTCTTTTTTTGGTTTTATTTTTGTTTTGGTTTGGTTTGGTACTGGGGATCAAACTCGGGACCTTGCACGAGTGAGGCAGGCGACACCACCACTGAGCTAAATCCCTGACCCCTGTCATCTCTTGATATCTGAGGAGAATTGAATCAAAAACACACATCCCCATGCACCAGGGTTCCAAATTTTGTTACAGACTCTCAGCCAAGCATGGTGGCACATGCCTGTAATCCCAACACTTGGGAGGCTGAGGCAGGAGGATTGCCACTTGTTCGAGGCCAGCCTGGGCTACATAGTGAGTTCAAGACCAGCCTAAACTACACAGTGAGACCCTGTCTCAAAAAACAAAAAAACAAAACCCAAAAAATGTAAAGATCTGTCAGTCTCTTATAGCAAGTGGTGTAGTATTTGCACACAACCTATGCATGCCCTCCCATGTACTTAAACCATCTCTACATTACTTGTGATACCGAACTTGTGGCTAGGAAGGGCAGTTGTGCTAGCTTATTGCAGAATATCTGAAGAAAGCAGAGAGACTAAAAAAGAAAACATGAATGGGCCAGGCCCCTCCTGAACCCAGGATCATCAGCACAGGAGGAGAGTTCTTTCTCATCACCCTTCTAAGCACAAGTCCCATGCCTTGGTATCAGTTGCCTTCCCCAAAACAAGTAACTTGCAACAATCTGCTTCCAACTGTGTGTCTGTGTTCGAATTCTGCTCTGTGCCACTCAGTGTTTCATTGTGGGCATTAAACACCTTCCCAACTGGCATTTTGTAGCTAATATTTTGTATCATTATTTAACGGCCATCCATGTCAAGTGGACAAGGCAAACCCTCATCAGCTTCTCCCTACAGCGCTAACAGCACCCACCAAGCTCTGGGCTTTATTTCTGTATCTAAGTCATGCTTCACATCTGCCACCGGATATCAGCTTCCTGATAGTGGCAGCTGCTTCTGTTTTCCTCCCTAATAATTGGCTGGGGGCTCCAGACATGGACCTGGACATGCCGAAGGCACCCTGAATTTTAGTGATGCAAGAACACATGTCCATCTCTGATTACATTTGAATTCCAGAAGAGGATTCCTGAGCCACGGGGCATAGTTTTATTTTTGAGACATGAATCTCACTATGCTCCCCAGGCTGGCCCTGAACCCCTAGGCTCAAGTGATCCTCCTGCCTCCGCCTCCCAAGTAGCTGGGACTATAGAGATGCATCACCCTACCTAGCCAATATTTTTAAGGATCTTTATATATTTCTCTTCCCCCTCAAAATGATAGTGTCACCACCCACAAATCGCACATTTTTCCACACCCTCAAAACTTTGGAGACACTTGATACGTAAGAGCTCTTTACATATCAAGGACATTAATACATTGTGATTATTTTGTTTGTTTGTTTTTTGAGACAAGGTCTGACTGTGAAGTTCAGGCTGGGCTTAAACTCATTGTGTAGCCCAGGCTGGCTGCAAACTTACAGCTACCCTTCTGCCTCAGGGCCTGAGGGCTGGAATTACAGGCATGCGCCATCACACCCAGTTGTGTTGTGATTTTTGTCACAAATTTTTTCTTAATCTACAGTAACTTCATTTCTCACTGAGTGACAGCAACAGGCCCTGACTCCTGACCACCTTTCCCACCTCAATCTTGCCCCCTCCATTGCTCTCATTACTGTCTAGCCAAAGACACTTTTTTTTTTTTTTGGTATCCGGGATGGAACTCGGGTCCTTGCACTTGTGAGGCAGGCAGCAGCACCACTGAGCTAAATCCCTGGCCACCAAAGACATTTTTTTCAATCCTTCAAACATATTACTACAGTCCTACCTCAAGGCCTCAAGAAACCAGCTGTTTCTCAGTCAGGTGCTGTCCTCCCTGGGCTCTTCACATGGCCAGTTCTTGGTCATCCTTCAGGCTGAAGCTCAGGGATCACCTCTGTTGAGAAACTGCCCTGACCGGCCACTTAAAGCAGCCCCTCCTGCTTCCTGCCATCAGCGTGCTACATCTTGTGTAAGCACTGAAGACATAGCCCGGCAGAGTAGCTGTTATTTTAGGGCTGCTCGAATGGAGAAGGCAGCTCTTCCCATGCTTGTCATGCCTCTACTGTACTCCCTATCACCTTGGTCCCCAAGGATATAGAGAGCATAAGTCCCTGAGATCTTGCCTGCCCTTCTTCCTCCTGCACTCCCCATGCCTTACTGAGTCCTTCCTGTGCACACGTGCTGTTGTGTGCCCCCTGCCCACCTTGTCCTGCCCTCCAGGTGCTTATGATCTGGGGCAGGAGGGTCACAAGCTCACTCTTTCCTGAGCAGCCAGCACCTTGGTTAGATGCAACTTCCACTGCCCCTGATGGGTGGCCCTCTAGTAAAGGTTAGTGGGAAATTTGACTCATCTTGGGGTGCCATTAGAGGCACTAGAAGGGAAGAGGGGATGCCATAGTGTTTTCAACAATTGCCTCGGGGGACCCACTGGTCTGCCCCTCCAAGCCTGGGTCAGAGTCCCATTGCCACCCTACCGCCATCTCCTCCCTATCCCACTACCTCCCTGCTCCCAAACATGGTCTGGAAATCCCCCAAACTGCTCTCAGGAAAGTAGCTGAGGTCCTCAGAGTTTCAAGACCTGGGCACTCAGCCCCAGTACTCAGCCTGCACCAGAACTAGACGTGACATGTGCAGGCGACTTGAGACCAGAAGCTCAGGGGGTCGGGGGCCAGCACCTGGGATGAAGAGGGGATTTCTCTGGGCATGGGGCTCCTCCTGACCTCAATGCCAAATCTCACCCCAGGCCACCTGTGCTGTCTCACAGCGAACTGCACAGAGGCTTCAGAGTCAAAGGGACTTGGCTTCAAGTCTGCTCCCATACCAAGCAGGATATGTCGCCTCCATTATACCTCCCAGCTTAATGAAATGATGGCGCTGATCCCCCACAGCCCTGCTGCTCAAAGTGGTTATTGTTGCACTGCTGAATTAGGCACCCAGCTACAGCAGGCTGGCAACAAGGGGAGGCTCCTGTCCCTTTTTGTGCATCAAGCTTGAGGCCAAGAGCAGAGCCCAGGGTTCAGAAGAGGGACATCCAGTCTGATAGCCACTGCTTCTGTGGGAAGAGGGTCCCCAGGGAAGGGCAGTGGCTTGAGTAGGGTGAAACTGTCCTCCCCAGTGCCAAGTCTTGGCATGGCCTCTCCTGAATCTTGAATCTAACACCTGGATTATGCAAGGAAATGTCCAGAGGGAGATTCCACAGACCCACTTGCCAGGCTGCCATGTCCATCATAAAGGGCCAGACAAGGCGAAATGAGTTGTATGTGACTTTATTTCCCCTTTTCTCCACACTGCTGGGAAGCTCATCCTTGATACTTCAATCACAGCTACTTAAACCCTATTAGCAAGTGTACGTGCATCTTCCCTAAGAGCTCCTCTCAGGCCACACACGCGCTGTCTCATTCACCCAACCCCCTCTTTCCTCTCTCTCTCTCTCAAAAATTGTCTTTTCAAAAAATCTTCAGGGAAACCTGGGGGGTTGAAGCAACCCCCACTAGGTGCTGTGGTGGCTCCTTCAATTCTCACAACAGCCCCCAAAGGAGGGCTCGCCAGCTCTCTCATTTCCCAGATGAGAAAACTGAGGCTCAGAGAGAGTGGTTGGCACATCCACAATCACACAGCCGATGACAGGAGACACTGCAGGGACCGTCCTGGCCCAGTTCTTGACCCGCCCCATGTGGGGCCACCCCAGCCGGCCCAGTCCACTGTACCTTGAGCGTGTCGCCCTTGTTGAAGGCCAGCTCATCGCTCTCTGTGGCCTGGAAACTGTACAGGGCCACGGACTCCATCCCGCTGGCCCCAGTGCGTCCCCAAGCTCCAGCAGCCGGGCTCTGCACAGGACCTTGGGCTGGCGGCTTCCTGCTTCCTTTGCACGCAGCACCGGCTTCCTTTGTTTTGAGTGTGTTTGTTCTTTTGAAGCTGAGGCTGAAACTACCCTTGATGGGCAAGAAACAGGAAGTAGATACATGTCACAGAGCAGGAAGGGCTTGCAGGCTGCCTACCTCCAGCCTCAGACCCCATCAGCCAGGTACAGCCCCAGGGACTCTCCCTGCAGCTTGGAATGGGGCCCCTCCTACCCACGTTACAGATAATAAAACTGAGGTGAAATGCTGCAAAACCATTCTGCCAGCCTAGGCATTGCATCTTGTGCCCTCTACTTTGTTTTTGCTTTTGGTTTTTTTGAGATAAGAGTCTTGCTATGTAGTCCAAGCTGGCCTCGAACTCTCAGAGATCCTCTTGCCTCAGCCCCTGAGTGCTGGAATTACAGACAAGCACCACCACACCATATTTTCTGAAACCTGATGCCTCTGGTGATTCCTTGTGCCTGCTACATCAGTCCCAAGCTCCCTGAATAGCATTCCAGGCCCTTCTGAGCCACCCTCAGATCCATCACACAGTTCCTACACTCATCCTTCATTATTTCCCTTCACTGTACGCAGACTATTGGATTGGGATGCGTGGGGCTGCCACGCTTCCATTTCATTCTCTAGGCTTTCTGCACATGCTTCCCCCTGCTTGGTGGTCTTCTCCTCCTTCTTCTCTTGGGAAACTCCTATTCATCCATCAAAATCCATCTCAGAAAGTTCCTCTTGTGCTTCAAATACTGGGCACCACCTATGCTATGTAAATCCTAAGGCCAAGAAGAATTGCAAATACACATTGATATTTCCTTAGTGGGTTTTGTAAGACCAAGGGCCTTACCAAACGCTCCGAGGAGCTGACTATAGTGAAGCACACCCAGGAATCCCAGCGGTGCCTTCAGAATGTAAGACCGAGAGCCTTACCAAACGCTCCAAGGAGCTGACTACAGCGAAAAACACCCGGGAAGGAACACAACGGACAAGTTCGGAAACAGACCTTTATTAGTCTGGCGAGACGGCACTCCCGAAGCAAAATAGCTTAGAGAGGCAACTGGCTCAGAATCCGAGGCTGTTTTTATAGGGGCTTGAGGGGGAAGTTAACATATTAAAGAAAAGGGGACAAAGGTTAGTGGTCGACTGTCACATATTGATGGTCAGCAGACATCTGCAGCTTGTTCTAACAATTCTGGTGCCTGGAATATCAGTTCCGGATAAACAAAGAGTTGAGTAGTTTACTCTGGGACTCTAGGTCTGTTACAGATCCCTATCTAGCGTCCCTAGACTAACAAGCATCTCCATCCATTAACTCACATTTTAATCACAGTGGGGCTGGAGAAAAGGAACAAAGGTTATGCAGTCCCACAGGTTTGTACTGGAGCAGATATGAATTCTGAAATTATTTTGTGAACATTGTAGGACAGCGTGTAAATAGATAAATATAATGATACTGTTTGGAGCCAGAGTTCTCCCCAGGGAAAGAAGGGGATACCAGCAAGAAAGGACAGCTGGAAACACCCTGGCATGGGGGTGGGAGCTAGGTGGGTCTGTGTGAGCCAGATTGTTTTTTTTCTGTAAAAATGGTTTTCTTCCTTTATGTACGTCAACATGAACTCGTCGTCGTTTCATATTCTCATCAGTGGATCACAATCCATTAGACGATTATTTATTCTGATGCTTGCACTGCCCCTGATTTGGCCAGCAGGATCTCCTTCACGCTGGCTCCTTCTCCCCACTGCTGTCTGAGCACGTTCTAACTTCCGGGCTAGGGGGATGTGCCAGGCTTGTCTTGAGTGCTTCCTGCCCAGCCTGTACTCAGAGCTGTCTTCAATGAGATGGAACAAGGGGTTTGCAGTGGAGGACTGGGATTGAGAAAGCCAGAACAGTCTGGGTGTGGGTGTTTGTTCCCGTTAAGGCGTCAATGCTCCTAGGCTCACCCCTCTTCCCCTGCAGATAGAGCTGGGAGGGAAAAACATCTCACACACAAAAGAAATGAGTAATTAGAGCCAGGCAAGGTGGTCCGGGCCTGCAATCCCAGCTCTTGGGAGGCTGAGGAAAGAGGATGGCCTTGAGGTTGAGGCCAGCCTGGGCTGTATAGTGAGTTCAAGGTCAAAATGAACTACATAAAAGAAAAAATAAAAACAAAAAAGAAAAAAAAAATGGAGCTGGGCACACGTCTATAATCCTAGCACTCAGGAGACTGAGGCAGGAGGATCTCTGAGAGTTCCAGGCCAGTGTGGGCTACATAATGGGTTCAAGGCCAGCCTGAACTACATAGAAAGACATTGTCTCAAAAAAAAAGAAAAGGGGCCAGGGATTGAGCTCAGTGGTTCCGCCACCTGCCTTGCAAGTGCAAGGACCCAAGTTTGATCCCCGGTACCAAAAAGAAAAAAGAAATAAGTTCTTTAAAATAAGTGGATAGGGCCAGGGATTTAGCTCAGTGTTTCCACCGCCTACCTCTCAAGCCCAAGGTCCTGAGTTCAATGCCTGATACCAAAAAAATAAAAATAAATAAAATAAGTGGATAGAGGGCAGGGGATTTAGTGCAGTGGCCCTGTGCCTGCCTCGAAAGCACAAGGTCCCGATCCTGGGTACCAAAAAACAACAACAACAACAAAAAATGGATAGAGCATGTCCTTTTTTTTTTTGGTACTGGGGATCGAACTCGGGACCCTGCACTTTCGAGGCAGGCAGCAGGACCACTGAGCTAAATCCCCGGCGGAGCATGTCCATTTTTGTACTCATTTCTCTGCCTGTTGATATAGATCAGGATAATAGATTAAAATCATGAGCTTAATTGAATCTGAGCAGTAAATGCAGGTGAAGGTCACACCAATGGCACTGTAACACTTGGGCAGCTTTTTCTAAAGGTTTGAATCTTTTCCACACTGAGGTTGGGCATGGTGGGGTATTCTTGTAATCCTAGCACTCTAGGAGGCTGAGGCAGGAGGATTGCAAATTTGAGGCCAGTCTGTACAACTTAGCCACTTAAGGAGACCCTGTCTCAAAAAAACTAACTTGAGGAGAGAGAAGGTAACAGAAGTTGGTGGCTGCCCTGGCCCAGGGCCTGGCTGGCATTCCAAAACTCCACCCTCTTCTCCACCTCCCTACCTTTTGGCTGCCCTGGCCCAAAGATGGCCGGAAGTTACAAGGTATCTCTTTCTACCTTGGTTTCAGCTGAGCTTTGGTTTCAGCTGAGAGTTTAAAGCCTCAAGATAGTACAGCATAGGGTTGACAACTACTCCCACCTCAAATCTAAGGAGCATCAGCCAAAGGAGATGCGATAGCCAACCTGACTCCATTTGTGTAAAGTTGAATGATTCTGGGTGGTCGACTTCCCCTTCCCCCTTGGGAGCCCCCTCAGTTAATGCATGAGAGACTGCCTTTACTGCCTTGTAAACAGGATGCCTGTGTGAGTCTGCAACTATACTTTATCTTTGTGACCTTTTGGTAGAGCCATCTACAACTACGTTATCTTTACAACCTTGTAAACAGAAGACCCCACACTGCATCTGCGTGATACTTGTGATACTTAGTTTTAACTAAACTCTGTGAAACTTCCCCAACCCCCACTAGTTTAGCAAAGTTCTACCCCTGTGAAACTCCCTTGTGCTCCCCCACTCCCTGAGCCCGCCCCAAATAGAAGAGCCCTTAAAAGGACCCTGCAAACTACCTTTCTTTTGTCAAGAATTTTCTGGCATGAGCCATATCTAATCAGTTGGCTTATAATAAAGGACTCCATTTAATTCAGAGTGTGGCGCATCTCTATAGTTCCAACTCACCTGGCCCTATTACAGAAAAGAGGCTTCCCCTCTGAAGGCTGAGCTTGGGGCCTCAGGCTTGTGGGTCTCAGGGCTGACTTATTTAAAATTATTCAGAAGTATTTTTTTCTAGGCCAACTCAGGCACAAAAAGGTTAGTTCCAGGGCTGGGGATTTAGTTCAGTGGTTTCAATGCCTGCTGCGCAAGCACAAGGACCTGAGTTCTATCTCCGGTACCAAAAAAAGAAAAATGAAAGAAAAAAAAATGGTTAGTTCTTCTCCCAAGGGCCAGCAACCAGCAAGTGGTAGTGCTGGAGCTCACTGCCAGGCTGACCAGGAAGGGCCCAGACACAGGCATGAGTCATCCTCCTGAGGCCTACTGGGCCTAGGGCCTGGCCACTGCCCACACAGCCAGTCAGGAGAGCTGCAACAGGGCTGTGTAGCCACACGTGGTTGGAGGGTATACACATCCCAGTGCAGAGAGGCTGGGGGGACCACTTGAGGAGTGCACTCTCCCGTGAGGAGGGACTTTGTAGTGCGACTAAGGGGAGGATCTTGAGGTGGAGACTCCTTTGATATCCTCTCGGGGCCCTAAGGGCCCTTATAAAGTCTGCTAAAGGTCTGGACTTACTCAGCTGTAAATTCCTTAAATACCAGGAAGTTTAACTGGTCTTTCAAGAGAAGCCTCTGGAGTCCACTGAAGCTTCCTACTATGCCTGCTTGAAACTGATCCCACCCCACCCCAGCTGAGGCGGAAATGGGCACTCATGGTCAGTTCCTTCTCTCTCACCTCATCATCCTCCCCATCCTCCTATTTCAAACTGTCATTGCCAGCTCCATCCCTTGGGATCAGCCCCCGGGGAGGGGGTGTGTTTGTTTCCTATTGCTGCTGTAACAAGCTACAACAAACTTACAACTGTACAAAGTTGTTCTCTATTGTTCTGGAGATGAGACTTCTTAGATCAGTTTCATTGGGTAAAAGCCAAGATGTGGGCAGGGCTAATTCCTTCTGGGGC